CAGGGAATCCTCACAAGACTAAAACGCATGCATGGATGGGAGAGGAAGGAATGAGCCCCAGGCTGCTCTGGGAAACCTGGAGACACATTGCTGTGGTCCCTGTGAGGCAGAACTGAACCTGGGATTCCATATTAAAGAGGAGTGAAGGGGGCCGCACCTCCCAGCAAAGGAAACCTTCCAGAAATCAAGTGGGGCGGGGATGGAAACACGACTCTCCTGAACACCTGCCTGCCCCTGGAGCTGCACCTCCCACCCGGCTACAGGGGATGGAGACACAGAATGACTCTCCTGAACACCTGCCTGCCCCTGGAGCTGCAGCTCCTACCCCAGCTACAGTCTGGGCATGGGGGTGCACACCTGTAATTCCCACTCTTTGGGAGACTGAGGCAGGAGGATTGCTTGAGCCCAGGAATTCCAGACCAGGCCTGGGCAACACAGGGAGACCCTGTCTCTTAAAAGAAACAAGCAAAAACCCGGCTACCTGTACAGCTGGGGAGACCCTGGACCCAAAGAAATGATGCAGACCCTCACATTAAGGCTACACATGGACCCACAAAACAAACAAAAATTACAGAAACATCAAGGAAGTTGGTTACTCTGTGTGGGCTTGAGCAGGAAAAACAATCAGCTATAGACCACCCTCCCAAGGACTTCAAACACACTGTCAAGTAGCTCCACGTCACAAATACCTAGCACTTTTCAATAAAAACTTCTTAAAACTGAAGACTATCATATGAAATATTCGAATAAAGGATGGAATCACAAAAATAAATATGCAATGTCTATCAAAAACACCCAGATAAGATGTGAAAGTAACTAATAATTTAGAAATTTTAAATATATGTCATCTTTAGAATTAGAAACTGAAAGGATAGGTTAAACAAACAGTACATTAACAATAATCAGAATAAAGAATAAAGCAAACAGACACGGAGAGACATGAAAAGGTACAGAGACGGGGGGAGAGGGATGAAAGGGCCTACGCTCATCTAAGTGGAATTCCAGAAGGGAGGAAAGTGATACGGACCCACAGACAAAGGAAACACAAGTGGGTACCCAAGCGGGTCGGATACAAAGAAGCCCAGGTGTGTCCGTCTGCCGATACTTACATATGATCGACCTGACAGTCACTGGATTAAAGGGAGTCCACGTGCCTGAAAACAAACAACAGGAGTTAAAGTAAAAGGAAAATCTTTGTGGGACAGGGAGTTCCTTGTCTATAGCTGGAGGCCCCGGGAAAGGCAGTAGGGGCTCTAGGGTAGTGGTTTTCTAGACACTCCAGGTGACGTGTCAGCTGCCATGACTCCTGGGAGGAGCCAAAGCACTGTCTGGTGGGGTCACACCCTGCTGAGTATGGGAGTCCTCCGTGGCCTGCCAGACCTCCATGGCCGCCCACAGTCATCGTGGCTGGACGCGCACTCTTATTTAACAGATAACTGAGACATGGTTCTGTATCATTTCACACACGGAATTTTTCAAGGATGCAGCCACCAGCCAAGTTAAGAAGTTCGCACTTACTTTTGTTAGAGAACTTCACAAATTCCCATTTCAGAAAAACCATCGTCAAGGCCACCACTGCCAGCAGACACCTGAGCACAGCTCGGTCGCTGTGGCATTCACACTAATTCTACCGAAAAGTGCAAGTACCAGACCCCTCCTTCCGTTCTCCCTCAGCAATCATCCCAAAGCACGGTGAAGACATCCATCACCACACTGCAAACATTCCTGACAAATTACGGTCTGGGCTTTATATGATTTTCCCTGAAACTGAATAGGAAGACTGTGCTATCCTCGGATTCGCTGTAGAATCTGATACCCTTGAGCGCTCACAACCATTTACCAACTATGAGGGTGAAGATTCACTGATGACCTTCACACACACGAGCCTATTTTCAGAGTGATCTGTGCCTTCAATAACTTCCATACTCACTGAGAATGAACTAAACATATTGTCAATGTCAGGAAAGACCAGCGGCTCTCCTCATGCCCCATCTGTATTAGACACACAGTTGTTTTTTCTATACACAAAATTGCCACAGTCCTGGGCAGCACACAGGGACAGCCCCCGATCTCAGAGAACAATGTCAGGCTCCCGGTGGAGCACGCGCGGTGGGGGCACGGCTGGCACGGTCCCTTGGGCTCAGTCTGGCTTACGGTTCACCTGGGCTGCACGGTCCCCTGGGTCCTCATCTGGCACGGTCCCTTAGGCTTACGAGTCATCACTCTGGTGCTGGCACGGTCCCTTAGGCCTCTACGAGTCATCACTCTGGGCTCATGGGGCTCCTCCTAGTGCCATGCCTGCTCTCACCTGAAGTGCGTCCCCTCCTAAGACGCACATACCCTCCCTCCAGCTCCTTCCTTTCCTTCCTCAGGGAGCCTTCCACGGGGGTACCATGTTCTCCCAGCCCAGAAGTTAAATCCGTTTACTCTGCCTGAGCACCTCCCAACTTCCCCTTGGGAAGATCCCACCCCCCAGCAGTTATGCAGGGAAGCTGTGCTCTTCCCACAAAGGCAGGTGCACCTGAACCCTGAACCCGTGGCACACACACAGCAACACTCCACGAGCATCTGTTAGGCTGAATAGAGTGATAATCTGCAGGAATACGTTTCTTTTTTTTTTTTTTTGAGACGGAGTCTCGCTCTGTCGCCCAGCCCAGGCTGGAGTGCAGTGGCGCGATCTCAGCTCACTGCAAGCTCCGCCTCCCGGGTTCACGCCATTCTCCTGCCTCAGCCTCCCGAGTAGCTGGGACTACAGGCGCCCACAACCGCGCCCGGCTAATTTTTTTGTATTTTTAGTGGAGACGGGGTTTCACCGTGGTCTCGATCTCCTGACCTTGTGATCCGCCTGCCTCGGCCTCCCAAAGTGCTGGGATTACAGGCGTGAGCCACCGCGCCCGGCAGGAATACGTTTCTGCAGGCTTTACAGGTAGCTGGAGGGAGAGTAGGCAGGCATATGTATACAGAGGTATTCGGAAAGGTCAGAATTACTGGAAACTAGTATTACAAAAAACAAAGATAAGCTACAGAGAACCCACAAGGCAAAGAAAGAGGAAAACTCTAAACACCAAGGAGCATCCCTGCCTCACCCAAATCCATCTGGTCTTCCCCCATTCTTCACTGCTGTGTACAGGAACCTAGTGTCTGCACACAAGGGTGACCTGCTCTGACCCAGCGCTGACAAGCCCCAGGAGCCAAAGCCCCTGGAAGCCTCCTGGGCAATCAATACTCTGTCTTCGTGCCATGAGGTTCTTCTCCTCTGTCTTCTGCGTCCGTGGCCCTGGACTGTGTGGACCTGGATGAGACCTAAGTCCTCAAGTGAAGGCTGCACTGTGAGGTGTCCTGATCATAAGTAGAAGCTTCTCTGGGCCATCTCAGCAAAAACACGGCCAAACAAGTTTTAAACCAAAGCAACACAGGTTAAAACACAAGCAAGATGTTAACCCTGCAGCGCAGGCATGGGGAAGCTCAGGTGCCGTCTGGATGGGCGCGCATGGAGAGTGCAGAGATGGTGCATTCCTGAGAGCTGGGGTCCAGGAGGAACCGGACAGCTGTACTGGGGTCTTCTGGAGTATTCTAAGAACTGCCCAGGAGAGCAGAGGTTGCCCTGGGATGAATCAAGGATCAGAGAGAGGCCGCCGCTCCACTAGAAAGGGCTCCTGAGGGATGGACACTCCTGCTATCTCCACTCACCTTCCTTGCCAACCACAGCAGGGTCTGGCTTCTCCACAGAAACCAAGAGAGAAACCAAGAGAGAACCACCACAAGGCCTAACTGCCCGTAACAAGCTGAAGCATCGTGGCGCACAGACATTTCATGCCTCAGTTACATTAGGTGCTAGACATACCTGGGCATCCGCCTGAAAACCTAAGTAGATGCTGTGCTTGGCCCCAGGCCATGGAGTCACTTGTCACCAAATCCCAACCCTTCCCCTGAAGCCCTGCCAAGGTGAGTTTCTGGTGAAAGCAAGCATGAAAGACTGCATGGGGGTCCCTGAGACCACCCTCCAACTTGAAAGGGAAAGGGCTGCTGGGGAAGCCAGGCGCTTCCAGAGCCCCTCCCAGCGGAGTCACACAGGGTGCACTGGATTCCTCCAGCAAGGAGCTGGGACAGCTAGTGCCGTGGTGCGGACCAGGGAGGCTCTCCTGAACCTGGGGGTCAGTCAGGGAAGTTCCAGCCACCCACAGGGAAAGCAGGTGTTTGCCATCCATCACCTTGTTGGTCAACTACCCAGGCAAAGTAGTGCAACATGGCTCAAGTCTCTCTCATCAGTCAGAACACTGCAAGAGCTCAGTTCCCAGGAGCCAGCCAAGGGCCCTTCCTGGGAACGTGCAGGGTCTGAGCAATCCAGGCCTGTTGAGTTAACCCCTTCCCACACAGGCAGATCAAATCTGCTCCATCACTGGGGCAACAAATACCATCACCCACATCCCTGGGCCCACGTGAGGGAAGGACAGTGATGGGACTGGACATGTGCTTCACAGGGCACTGTCCTGCCTCTGAGATCTGATTTGTCTCAGTTCTTTTTAATGTGGGATCTCCAAGAGAGCCTCAACTGTATTTGATTAAAAAAAAAAAAACAAAAAAAAAAACTGGCCAGGCGTGGTGGCTCACACCTGTAATCCCAGCACTTTGGGAGGCCAAGGCAGATGAATCATGAGGTCAGGAGTTCGAGACTAGCCTGACCAACATGGTGAAACCCCGTCTCTACTAAAAATACAGAAATTAACTGGGCATGGTGGTGCGCACCTGTAATTCCCAGCTACTCAGGAGGCTGAGGCAGGAGAATCACTTGAACCTGGGAGGTGGAGGTTGCAGGGAGCCAAGATCACGCCATTGCACTCCAGCCTGGGAGACAGAGTGAGACTCCGTCTTAAAGAAAAAAAAAAAACTTCAAAAGAATGTAAGAAATATTTCTTAAAGTACAGCTTTAAAAATGCCCCTTAAAAATACATCAATGTTATATTAAGCCAAACCCACTTCAGAAGCACAGAGACGAAAAAAGTTAACTTCTTGTAATTTCAGGATGTTTTGGGAACGAGAAACAAGCACAGAAAATGGGCTAGGAGGACAGTGGATGACACCGATGGGCTGATCACGGTTCCAGGATGGTCTCGCCATGGAGGTGACAGGGTGAATGCTGCAGTGCAGGACTGGGGGCGCCACAGGAACGGGTGCTCCAGGTAGGGCGTCGTCCTGGAAGGATGAGAGTCCTGAGAACAGCTGGGTGGGAGCAGGGTCCGCCGGCTGCACGGGGGTGGGGAGGGTGCCATGAGGGCCTGAGAGCAGCGAGGCAGGGGAGGAACCCTAATCCCTCATCTGCATGAGACGTCAGGCCTGCCAGAGCCCCATGGAGCTCGGAACGGAGCTGGGGAGGAGCATTTGCCAGGTCTCCCATCCCCTCCTTCTGCCCACTGGGATTGCTCCTGAAGGAAGAAGAACCCATCAAGTCCTTGTAAATGTGCTGGGAGAGAACCCCTGACAGTGCCTGGTGCTCACTCCTGGGGAGCCACTGTCGCAGGTGAAGTTTCTGGGCTCAGGCCCATGGCACCTGGAAAATGTCGTGTTTCAGTGAAATGATCTTCAAAGCCCAAGAGGAAATGTTCCAGGCACCCCTCAGAGACCCTGTGAGGCAGGAAGGACAGTGGGGCCACGAGGGTCCCCAGCTTCTCCAGCTCGACCTGTGCCTGGAAATTACTCCCTGAAATCGTGAGCAGAGCTGGATGCTGGGTCAGTTCTGTGATCTGTGGGACTCTACCCTTAATGGCTTCATTTATTTACAGGGATCTAACCTTATATTTATCTATGTAAAGAATGAAATTGGTCATTTCTTAGATTCACCTGTGCTTGAGATACCTTTTTAAGAATATTTTCCTAGCCATTAAAGAACATAAGTCAATTTTCTTTTTTCATTTCCCTGTTGCTATGTGACAAAGGTAATATTCTATACTTTTTGTATTAAAGGACTTCAAATTATTGATACTTTAGATGACTTCTAAAGTTCTTGCCATATTCTGAATGAAGAATGTGAGCCCCAGGTTAAAAACATCAACATGATGTGGACTATTCTGAGCTCAACAGAACTGACTGAACTAGCAGGGTGTGTTTTTGCTGCTTCGTCCACTCACACACTGTCTGAGACCCATTCATGTCTCTGGAGGTCCCTCACCTTGTGCTGGCTGACTCCCTGAGGGACTTGCTGGACGCCCTCATCCATCTGCCCGTGAACGACCATTTTGGAATCTCTTCCACTCGGGCTTTGTGCGAACCAGTGACACCAGGTGCATCTGAAATATGCCACATGCCCAGGTGCACGCGGGGCGTGTGCAGCTCCCTGACCCCTCTGCGGCGGGACAGCAATGAGGCCCAGGGCGTAGCGGGGAGGTTTGGGTGTGGGAGCAGGCTGGGGTTGGAGAGAGGACACTGGATTCTGGACTTTATCTGAGGGCTGAGCAGCAGGCGTCATGGCAGATCGGGTCTGGTGTTGAGCTGACCTGATTGTCGCAGAGAACTGATGTTCATGGTTTCTCTGAATAACATAGAAATGGATCCTTGTGGTCTTGAAACTTGAGAATGTGACATGTGTCTTATTTGAGTTCCTTTCTCAGGAAACTGACCATCAGGCCTCCCGGGTAGTGTGAAGGAACAGAGACTCAGCAGATCACGGCATCTGGTCAGTGAGACACCAAACCCTTCACCCATCATGATTGTCTGATCAGCCACCTGCCTCCTCCTGACCAACTCCTCTTCCTCTCTCCCCCTAATTCCTGTTTTCCTTACACATAGTCACATTTCTTCCCTGCTATACAGTCAGTCAGGAAAATGCATTTGAGGCTGACCTCCCATCTCCTAGCCTGCAGCTCCTGATGCACGCCTTCTTCACTGGCAGTAACCATCGTCTCAGTGACTGGCTTTCTGTGTGCTGAGCAGTAGGATCTGGAACAAACCCCTGCATTTTGGAAACATGGAGAGCAGCCTCAGCAGGCCCCCGGCCCCGAGTGCAGTCATGACTATCAAGGACCCACACCAACCCCCAAAGGTGAGTGTGGACAAGAAGAAAAGGCTCCTGAGGATCCAACCAGGAGAATTCCTGCAATGTCACGGAGAATCACTGCCACCCGGCCCATTCCCCCATTGAAGGGCAGCTGCAAGATTCAGCTCATTTGTCTTCTTTCCTGGACATGTTCAAATCTCTTTCAACACAACCTTGTGATCCTGAGATTCCATCAAGATGTGCATTGTTTTACAATATTGCTTTAATTTACTCTGCCAGCTATCTGGGGAAATGCAACCTCATCAGCAGAAATTATTTCCTCCCTGCCGCTTTTGAAATCTGTTATTTCCTATAGCCAGGTACTGAGCCCTTCAACTGAGGTCTAAACCCTCCACCCTGTCCCTCCGGGGTCGCCAAGCCGGTGGTTTGTTACATGCTCCCAGGCAGATTGTGTCAACTCAAAGTCCAACGTGCTTAAGAAATACTTAATTTTAGGAGGTTTTTTTTTTTAATGTTTTTGTTTCATGGAGGTGACACCCTCTGTCTTTGACTTGTGGGCGCCTTCCTCCTTCAGTCTGCATGTACTGAAGCCAGTGTCTGCTGTACAGCCTCTCAGCCGCAGCCCACAGTGAGGTGCAGGTGCTCAGCCTTCGCCCCAGAGAGCGCCTCCATTCGCCCCTCCACCCGTAGCCCCTCGAAACCACTGCCCTGCTTCCCAACACGGTAGCACTGTCTTCTCCAAGGTGTCATGTGGCGGCATCCTTCGGCCTGTGCCCACCAAAACTAGCTTTCTTCACCAGGCATGTGGCCTGGGAGACCTGGGGCATTTTGGGTGCATGTTTCCACTGCTGGTTGGTGCCCCCTGTGTGGAAGCATCCGCGTTGGTTCACGCCTTCTCCTGCCGATGGACAATTTGTTTTCTTCCAGTTATTGGCAATGAGCAATGAGGCCTAAACACTTGAGTGCAGGTTTGTGTGTGCACGTTTAAGTTTTCTCTTGGGGGAAATTTCAGGAGTGGGGTTGCTGGATGACGTGGTAAGGATGTGCTTAACTCAATAAGAAACTCCCGGACCACGTTCCAGCATGGCGGGATCCCTCCCATTCCCACTGCCGCTTATGAGGGTCCCGGTTCCTCTGCATCGTCACTAGAAGCTGGGTTGGCCCGTGGTTTTTGTCTGTTTTTAGCCATTTTAATAGATTTGCAGAGCTACTGTTGACTGGCATTTCTCCAGCATCTCTATGATGTTGAGCCTCTTTCTCGGGCAATATGCCCTCCTTATACCTTCCTTGATGAGGGCTCCATTAAAATATTTGCCTTCTCTTTAATACTGGGGCTTTTACTTTCTTATGGTTAAGTTTTGACGGTTCTTCGTATATTCTGCGTGCCAGTACATCGTGAGATGTGTGATTAACCAGTATTTTTTTTCTAGCCCATAGTTTGCATTTCATTCTTTTAAGATTTTTATATTGCTTTATAGAATTATAATTTTAAATTATGACTAAATGTAGTTTGTCAATCTTCTATGAATCATGCCTTTGGTGTCATGTCTAAGAACTTTTCACCTAACCCCAGGCCATACAAATTTTCCCCTGTGTTTTTATCTAATGGTTTTATAGTGTTGTGTTCTCCATTTAGGCCTGTGATAAATGTTGAGTAACATTTTGTGTCAGCCACGGCCATACCTTTTTCCGTCTCTGACAGTATCTTGGGTGTTTGCAGCTCCCAGTGCCCTGTGCAGTTCCCGTCTTCTTGGTCCGCTCTTTCTGTGAGTTTCAGGGCGTGTCTTAGTGCTGACGCTGTCCTGGCCCATCAGGGGGTCCCATGGGCTTGTCCGTGTGGGAAAGTCGGGACTGTGATGTTGACGGGATGCCGTGAGTTGGGAGGTTCTGACGGGGGTTTCCATGTAGGAGAGAGAGGTGTTTGGTTTTCCGGATGGGGCAGACTTGAGAGGGGACAAACTTGAGAAATGCCACCAAGGGGAAGCCCAGGCAGAGCAGGTCTCGGGGCCGCCCAGTCGTGTGGGCGCCAAACGTGGATGTGTCAATGGCCATGCCAGGAGGTAAACCCTCACCCAAGGGCCTCTGGGTGTCCACGGCCAAGTCTTGTTCAAGAGGTGCGTTCAGCTGAGCCAACCATGGCAGAAATGCACAGGGGAAATCCCATGGTTCCTCTGTTTAAATCCCCTGCTAATCCCACCGACTCAGAGAAGCAGCCAAGTCCTCACAGCAGCCTGCAACCCCCACCTGACTCAGCCTCTTCTTGGCTCTGATTCTCTCTCCCCTCCTATCCCTCTCTGTCTCTTCTGCCACCAGAGAGGAGATCCTCCATGTTCATCCTGGTGGATTCAAACCCATGTTTGCCACACAGATAGTCACCAGAATCAATAGGTATAATCTATAAAGAGTCCTTTTGAAAAAGAAAAAGGCAGGCTGGACATGGTGGCTCACGCTTGTAATCCCAGCACTTTGGGAGGCTGAGGCAGGAGAATCACCTGAGGTCAGGAGTTTCAGACCAGCCTGGACAACATGGTGGAACCCCATCTCTAGGAAAAATACAAAAATTAGCTGGGTGTTGTGGCGTGCGCCTGTAATCCCAGCTACTCAGGAGACTGAGGCAGGAGAATCACTCGAACCCAGAAGGTGGAGGTTGCAGTGAGCTGAGATCACGCCACTGCACTCCAGTCTGGGTGACAGAGTGAGACTCTATCTCAAAAACATAATAATTGGAATAATAAAAGAAAAGTGCAAAAATTCAAACAACAAAAACTGGGCAAAAGAGCTGAACCGGCCCTCCACAGAAGAGGAGATGTGGAGGAACGGCTAATGAAAACACGAAGAGGGGCTCAGCCCAACGGGGAGATATCATGTGACACCCACCAGACTGGCAGAAATCCCACAACCCAATCAATGCCAGTGTTGGGGAGAATGGAGAGTAGCAGGAACACCAGGCACTGCTAAGAATGGTTATGAAATATATTTTTGTTACACTTGTATATGAAAGGGTGTGTGTTGTGGGTTATGAGGAAAATTACATTTCTTACCTGGGATGAAATTTTAAAACTTGAAATCTACTGACCCAGGCCGGGCGCGGTGGCTCACGCCTGTAATCCCAGCACTTTGGGAGGCCGAGGCGGGCGGATCACAAGGTCAGGAGATCGAGACCACGGTGAAACCCCGTCTCTACTAAAAATACAAAAAATTAGCCGGGCGCGGTTGTGGGCGCCTGTAGTCCCAGCTACTCGGGAGGCTGAGGCAGGAGAATGGCGTGAACCCGGGAGGCGGAGCTTGCAGTGAGCCAAGATCGCGCCACTGCACTCCAGCCTGGGCGACAGAGCGAGACTCCGTCTCAAAAAAAAAAAAAAAAAAAAAAAAGAAATCTACTGACCCGAAGAAACTTGCACTTGTGTAAAAAGAAATGCCCAAGAACGTTCCTAGCAAAACACAGTCTTAAGGGCCCCAACCTGGTCAAACACTCACTCACAGGGCCATGAAGACATTTCCCGTGCTCCCCTCAGACGACGGGAGATCACGCAGCAATGACAATGAATCACGTCAGTGTGGGTGGGTCTCAGGGGGAATGGAGGGGACACACAATGAGAACATTTGGTTCGGAGACGGAGATGGAGATCACACAATGAAAATGAACACGCATCCAGGGAGAACAACGAACACAATGAAAATGAACCACGTCAGTGTGGGTGGGTCTCAGGGGAGAAGGAGACACACAATGAAAATGAACAGAGTGTGGGTCAGGGGAAAATGGAGATCACACAATGAAAAAACCACTCAAGAAAACAATCACACAATGAAAATGAACCACATCAGTGTGGGTGGGTCTCAGGGGGAGAACGGAGATGGGAGATCACACAATGAAAATGAACCACATCAGTGTGGGTGGGTCTCAGGGGGAGAACGGAGATGGGAGATCACACAATGAAAATGAACCACGTCAGTGTGGGTGGGCCTCAGGGGGAGAACGGAGATGGGAGATCACACAATGAAAATGAACCACGTCAGTGTGGGTGGGCCTCAGGGGGAGAACGGAGACGGGAGATCACACAATGAAAATGAACCACGTCAGTGTGGGTGGGTCTCAGGGGGAGAATGGAGACGGGAGATCACACAATGAAAATGAACCACGTCAGTGGGTGGCCAGGGGAAACGGAGACGGGAGATCACACAATGAAAATGAACCACGTCAGTGTGGGTGGGTCTCAGGGGAAATGAGAGGGAATCACACAAGAAAATGAACCACATCAGTGTGGTGGCTCAGGGAGAACGGAACGGAGATCAACAATGAAAAGAACCAGTCAAAAAAAAACACAATGAAAATGAACCACGTCAGTGTGGGTGGGCCTCAGGGGGAGAACGGAGACGGGAGATCACACAAGGAAAATGAACCACGTCAGTGTGGGTGGGTCTCAGGGGGAGAATGGAAGACAAAAACAGACATTGAGCAGATGCTCAGAGCCATGCAGCATAGGAGCAGCCACGCAGGAGAATTTCCTCACATCAAAGTTCAAAACTACAGCCGAGGCAACAGAGCAAGACCCTGCCTCAAAAAGAAAACAGAAAGTTCAAAAACTAAATGGCATATTTTGGGGGATGTACACATACGCGGTGAAAGAAACGTACTGTGAAAAAAAGTATGGGAACAATAAAGACTAAAGCAGGAAGTGATTCCCTCTGTAGGAGAAGGGGAGGGACTGGGACTCAGGCAGGGCTTCCAGGGAACATCTGAAGTTATGTCTCTTCAGATTCATTCCCTAAACTTGGTGGAGGTCCTCTGTGTCCAATGTGTCGATATTCTTCATATTTTACCCATACTGTACCAACGCTTTATTTCTATTCAATATTTAGAACACAGTTATAAACAAGATGCATTAAATAGCAAGATGGCCGATGAACATCAGGAAGGAACATCCATGAGGTTCCATCCACAGAACCTCACCATGGATACGCTTGTGATCAAAGGCCTGGTCTCCCCTCACGACACAGAGCAGAGGCTGCACCATCATAGTGGAGCAGGAGCAGCTGGGACAGGGCCCTTCTGTGAACCTGCTGCATCGCCAGGCTGTGCAAACGGACTCAGCGGCCAGAACTCACAGAGTATCAGTATCAGCACCGAAACCTCACAGGAAAAATGGTAAGTTCTAAGTTTCTCCATTAATAGTAACTCTCAGATTAATCTCTGTCATCCATCGCTTCTCCAAGAAATAACTTTTATAGCTTTGCATGGGTCTATTTTTCAATTTATATTTTATTTTACTAACTGATTGAAAGATATTGTGTGTGGTTGTCTGATTTTGTCTGTCAGGATAATCATAGTTTAATTTCTATTATTATGATTATAGCAAAATCACTTAGTTTTTTTTAAGCTTTTCAATTCCTGAGGGTATTAATCAGGGTCTTCCTATCTCATGAGACAGAAAACAAATACAAACTCTGTAAAAGAAAAAGGAATGTAATGATCACGAGGACTGAGAAGCTCCCAGGCTTAACTTGCTTGGGATTCAGCTACATGTACAGTTTCAACTGGGGTACTGTAACACACTCTCTCTCTCTCTCTACTTTCCCAACATCAGCTGCATGTTTAGCTCCACAAACTTCAGACTTAAACAGCATCACTGGCTCCTGACCAGGATTCCAGCTCCACGAACCTCAAACTACAACACCAGCCTTCCTTCTCCTTAGGTCTCCAGCTCCAAAACCTAAGACATCAGTGGCAGTACCTACTCTTCCTGGAGGCTCCAGCTCTGACAGCCTCAGACTTGAACCACAGCACCAGCTCTTCCCCGGATCTCCAGCTCCACCACCCTCAGATTTAAACAGCAGCAGCACCAGCTCATCTGTGGGTCTCTAGCTCCATGACACTCAAACTAGGACAACATCAGCTCATCCTCGGGTTGCCAACTGCATGACAATCCAACTAGAAACACACCAGCTCCTCCCTGGGTCTCCAGCTCCACAAATCTCACACTACAAAAGTAACACCAGCTCCTCCTTCGGTCTCCAGCTTTACAACCTAAGACAGTGGCAGCTCCAGCTCCTCCCAGGGGCTCAAGCTCCGAGCCTCTCAGACTTGAACCTCAGCACTAGCTCTTCCCTGGATCTCCAGCTCGACGACCTTCAGATTTACACAACAGAAGAACCAGCTCCTCCCTGGGTCTCCAGACATACGACCCTCAACTAGAACATCAGCTCTTCCCCAGGTCTCTAGCTAAAGAGCCCACAAACTAGAACAACAACGCTCCCCCCTATATCTCCAGATCAACGAACCTCAACTAGGAATGCCAACACCGCTCCTCCGCGGGTATCCAGCTCCACAACCCGCAACTAGAAACACCAACACAAGCTCCTCCGCGGGTCTCCAACTCCACGACCCACAAACTAGAACAACGCTCCCCCCGTATCTCCAGCTCCACAACCCACAACCAGAAACATCACCACCAGCTCCTGGGCGGGTCTCCAGTTCCATGACCCTCAACTAGAAACAACAACTCCGGCTCCTCCGTGGGTCTCCAGCTCCATGACCCTCAACAAGAAACACCAACTCCGGCTCCTCCGTGGGTCTCCAGCTGCATGACCCTCAACTAGAAACACCAACACCGCCTCCTCCGCGGGTCTCCAGCTCCACGACCCTGAACCAGAAACACCAACACCGTCTCCTCCGCGGGTCTCCAGCTCCGTGACCCACGAACTAGAAAACAACGCTCCACCCTGTATCTCTAGCTCCACAACCCTCAACGAGAAACACCACCACCGGCTCCTCCACAGGTCCCCAGCTCCACGACCCACAAACTAGAAAACAATGCTCCACCCTGTATCTCCAGCTCCACAACCCTCAATGAGAAACACCAACAACGGCTCCACCACGGGTCTCCAGCTCCACACCCCTCAACTAGAAACACGAACTCCGGCTCCTCCACGGGTCTCCAGCTCCACAAACCACAAACTAGAAAACAATGCTGCACCCTGTATCTCCAGCCTCCCACAACCCACTCCACAACCGAGAAAAAAAAACCACTCCAACAACAAAAAAACACCAACAATGGCTCCTCCGTGGGTCTCCAGCTCCACGACCCACAAACTAGAAAACAACGCTCCACCCTGTATCTCCAGCTCCACAACCCTCAACGAGAAACACCACCACTGGCTCCTCCACGGATCTGCAGCTCCACAACCCACAAACTAGAAAACAATGCTCCACCCTGTATCTCCAGCTCCACAACCCTCAACGAGAAACACCAACAATGGCTCCTCTGCGGGTCTCCAGCTCCACAACCCTCAACTAGAAACACGAACTCCGGCTCCTCCACGGGTCTCCAGCTCCACAAACCACAAACTAGAAAACAACGCTGCACCCTGTATCTCCAGCTCCACAACCCTCAACGAGAAACACCAACAATGGCTCCTCCATGGGTCTCCAGCTCCACAACCCTCAACTAGAAACACCAACACTGGCTGCTCTGCAAGTCTTCAGCTGCACGACCCTGAACTAGAAACACCAACAGCGGCTCCTCCGCAGGTCTCCAGCACCACGACCCTCAACTAGAAACACCAACACTGGCTCCTCCACGGGTCTGCAGCTCCACGACCATCAACTAGAAACACCAACACCGGCTCCTCTGCAGGTCTCCTCCTCTACGACCCTCAGCTACAAACACCAACACTGGCTCCTCCGCGAGTCTCCAGCTCCACAACCTACAAACTAGAAAACAACGCTCCACCCTGTATCTCCAGCTCCACAACACTCAACGAGAAAAACCAACAACGGCTCCTCCGCGGGTCCTAGTTCCACAACCCACAACTAGAAACACCAACACTAACTCCTCGGAAGGTCTCCAGCTCCACGACCCTCAACTAGAAACAACAACAGCAGCACTTCCACGGCTCTCCAACTCCACGACCCTCCACTAGAAACACCAACAGCGGCTGCTCCGTGGGTCTCCAGCTCCACGACCTTCAACTACAAAAACCAACAGCGGCTCCTCCACGGGTCTCCAGGTCAACGACCCTCAACTAGAAACACCAACTCCAGCTCCTCTGCAGGTCTCCAGCTCCACGACCCGCAACAAGAAACACGAACACAGACTCCTCCGCGGGTCTCCAGCTCCACGACCCTCAACAAGAAACACCAACCCCGGCTCCTCTGCAGGTCTTCTCCTCCACAACCCTCAACTAGAAATACTAACACTGGCTCCTCCACGGGTCGCTAGCTCCACGACTCACAAACTACAAAACAACACTCTACCCTGTATCTCTAGCTCCACAACCCTCAACAAGAAACACCACCACTGGCTCCTCCATGGGTCTCCAGCTCCACGACCCACAAACTAAAAAACAATGCTCCACCCTGTATCTCCAGCTCCACAACCCTCAACGAGAAACACCAACAATGGCTCCTCCGTGGGTCTCCAGCTCCACGATCCTCAACTAGAAACACGAACTCCGGCTCCTCCACGGGTCTCCAGCTCCGCAAACCACAAACTAGAAAACAATGCTGGACCCTCTATCTCCAGTTCCACAACACTCAACAAGAAACGCCAGCAATGGCTCCTCTGCAGGTCTCCAGTTCTACAACCCTCAAGTAGAAACACCAACTCCAGCTCCTACACAGGTCCCCAGCTCCACGAACCACAAACTAGAAAACAACGCTCCACCTTGTATCTCCAGCTCCACAACCCTCAACGAGAAACACCAGCACTGGCTCCTCTGCGGGTCTACAACTCCACGACTCACAAACTAGAAAACAATGCTCCACCCTGTATCTCCAGCTCCACAACCCTCAACGAGAAACACCAACAACGGCTCCTCCGTGGGTCTCCAGCTCCACGATCCTCAACTAGAAACACCAACAATGGCTCCTCCGCGTGTCTCCACTCCACGACCCTCAACCAGAAACACCAACGACAGCTCCTCCACGGGTCTGCAGGTCCACAACCCACAAACTAGAAAACAACACTCCACCCTGTATCCCAAGCTCCACGACCCTCAAAGAAAAACACCAACAGTGGCTACTCCGCCGTCTCCACCTCGATGACCCTCAACTAGAAACATCAACTCCGGCTCCTCCATGGGTCTCCAACTCCACGACCCTCAACTAGAAACACCAACTCCAGCTCCTCCACGAGTCTCCAGCTCCACAACCCACGAACAAGAAAACAACGCTCCACCCTGTATCTCTAGCTCCACAACCCTCAACGAGAAACACCACCACCGGCTCCTACACGGGTCTCCAGCTCCACAACCCACAAACTATATAACAGTGCTCCACCCTGTATCTCCAGCTCCACAACCCTCAACGAGAAACACCACCACCGGCTCCTCTGCAGGTCTCCAGCTCCACACCCCAAAAACTAGAAAACAACGCTCCACCCTGTATCTCCAGCTCCACAACCCTCAACAAGAAACACCAGCACCGGCTCCTCGGCGGGTCTCCAGCTCCGCGACCCACAAACTAGAAAACAACGCTCCACCCTGTATCTCCAGCTCCACAACCCTCAACGAGAAACACCAACAACGGCTCCTCCGCGGGTCTCCAGCTCCACGATCCTCAACTAGAAACACCAACAATGGCTCCTCCACGTGTCTCCAACTCCACGACCCTCAACCAGAAACACCATCAACAGCTCCTCCACAGGTCTCCAGGTCTGTGACCCACAAACTAGAAAACAACGCTCCACCCTGTATCTCCAGCTCCACAACCCTCAAAGAAAAACACCAACAGAGGCTACTCTGCCAACTCCACCTCGATGACTATCAATTAGAAACACTACCTCCAGCTCCTCCACGGGTCTCCAGCTCCACGACCCACAAACTAGAAAACAACGCTCCACCCTGTATCTCCTGCTCCATGACTGTCAAACAAAAACACCAACAGCGGCTACTCCACCGTTGCCACCTCAATGACCCTCAACTAGAAACACCAACTCCGGCTCCTTCATGGGTCTCCAGCTCCACGACCCTCAACTAAAAACACCAACTCCAGCTCCTCCACAGGTCTCCAGCTCCACGACCCACAAACCAGAAAACAACGCTCCACCCTGTATCTCTAACTCCACAACCCTCAATGAGAAACACCACCACCGGCTCCTACACGGGTCTCCAGCTCCACGACACACAAACTAGAAAACAATGCTCCACCCTGTATCTCCAGCTCCACAACCCTCAACGAGAAACACCACCACCGGCTCCTCTGCAGGTCTCCAGCTCCATGACCCACAAACTAGAAAACAACGCTCCACCCTGTATCTCCAGCTCCACAACCCTCAACGAGAAACACCAACACCGGCTCCTCCGCGGGTCTGCAGCTCCACAAAGCACAAACTAGAAAACAACGTATCACCCTGTATCTCCAGCTCCACAACAGTCAACGAGAAACACCAAAAATGGCTCCTCCATGGGTCTCCAACTCCCCAAACCTCAAATAAAAACACCAACACCAGCTCCTCCACGGATCTCCAGTGACATGACCCTCAACTACAAACACCAACACCGGCTCCTGGCGGGTCTCCAGCTCCACGACATTCAACTAGAAACACCAACAGCTTCTCCTCCACAGGTCTCCAGCACCATGACCCTCAGCAAGAAACACCAACACCAGATCCTCCACGGTACTCCAGCTCCACGATCCTCAACTAGAAACACCAACACCGGCTCCTCCGTGGGTCTCCAGCTCCACAATCCTCAACTAGAAACACCAACAATGGCTCCCCCGTGTGTCTCCAACTCCAAACCCTCAACCAGAAACACCAACGACAGCTCCTCCACAGATCTCCAGCTCCACGACCCACAAACTAGAAAACAATGCTCCACCCTGTATCTCCCGCTCCACAAACATCAACTAGAAACACCAACTGCAGTTCCTCCGCGAGTCTCCAGCTCCAAAACCCTCAACTACAAACACCAACATGGGCTCCTCCGCAGGTCTCCAGCTCCACGATCCTCAATTAGAAACAACAAAACCGGCTCCTCCACGGGTCTCCAGCTCCGCAAACCACAAACTAGAAAACAACGCATCACCTTATATCTCCAGCTCCACAACAGTCAACGAGAAACACCAACAATGGCTCCTCCACAGGTCTCCAACTTCCCAAACCTCAACTAGAAACACCAACACTGGCTCCTCTGCAGGTCTTCTCCTCCACAACCCTCAACTAGAAACACTAACACTGGCTCCTCCACGGGTCTCCAACTCCCCAAACCTCAACTAGAAACACCAACACCGGCTCCTCCGCGGGTCTCCAGCGACACGACCCTCAACTACAAACACCAACACCGGCTCCTGGCGGGTCTCCAGCTCCACGACATTCAACTAGAAACACCAACAGCTTCTCCTCTGCAGGTCTCCAGCACCATGACCCTCAGCAAGAAACACCAACACCAGATTCTCCGCGGGACTCCAGCTCCACGATCCTCAACTAGAAATACCAACAATGGCTCCTCCGCGTGTCTCCAACTCCACGACCCTCAACCAGAAACACCAAGGACACCTCCTCCATGGGTCTCCAGGTCCACGACCCACAAACTAGAAAACAACGCTCCACCCTGTATCTCCAGCTCCATGACCCTTAAACAAGAACATCAACAGCGACTACTCCGCCATCTCCACCTCGATGACCCTCAACTAGAAACACCAACTCCGGCTCCTCCATGCGTCTCCAGCTCCACGACTCTCAACTAGAAACACCAAGTCCAGCTCCTCCACGGGTCTCCAGCTCCACAACCCACAAACTAGAAAACAACGCTCCACCCTGTATCTCTAGCTCCACCACCCTCAACGAGAAACACCACCACCGGCTCCTCCACGGGTCTCCAGCTCCACGACCCACAAACTAGAAAACAATGCTCCACCCTGTATCTCCAGCTCCACAACCCTCAACGAGAAACACCACCACCGGCTCCTCCACGGGTCTCCAGCTCCACGACCCACAAACTAGAAAACAATGCTCCACCCTGTATCCACAACCCTCAATGAGAA